AAAAAAAGCTGGGTAGCAATATTTATATCTGACAAATTAGATCTCAAAGTGAAGGACATAACAAGAGATAAGAAAGGCCACTTCATAATACTAAAGGGAACAATCCAACATGAAGATATAACTCAGGTAAACATATACGCTCCCAATACAAGAGCACCCAAATACATAAAAAAACTTCTGGAGAATAACAAGGGAGAGATTTACAGCAATACAGTCATAGTAGGGGACTTTAAAACCCTACTAACACTACTGGACAAATCCTTTAAACAAAAAAATCAGAAAAGAAATATCAATCCCAAATGACACACTAGATCAGATGGAATTAATTGACATCTTCAGAACATTGCACCCCAAAGCCACAGAATATACATTCTTCTCAAGTGCACCTGGGTCATTTTCAAAGATAGACCATATATGGGGACACAGGCAAAGTCTCTGCAAATTCAAGAAGATAGAAATCATATTAGCATCTTCTCAGATCAAAATGGCAAACTAGAAACTAACTACAATAAAAACAATCAAAAAAATCAAACACCTGGAGGATAAATAGCATGCTATTAAACAATGATTGAGTTACCAGAGAGATCAAAGAAAAAATAAAAAGCATCATGGCAAAAAACAATAATGAAAACACAACAATCCAGTATTTATGGGACACAGTGAAAGCAGTCTTGAGAGTGAAGTTCATAGCTCTACAGGCCTACCTCAAAAAAAACAAGAAAAAATGGTAATAAATTATCTAACCCTACAAATCAGAGTTAGAAAGAGACCAACAAGAAAAGCCCAGAGTAAGCAAAAGGAAGGAAATAATAAAGATCAGAGTGGACATAAACAACATAGAGACCAAAAATACTATTAAAAAGGTCAACAAAACCAAGAACTGGTTCTTTGAAACAATAAACAAGATTGATGAGTCTCTAGCCAGGCTCACCAAGAATCAAAGAGAGAGGACCCAAATAAACAAAATCAGAAATTCTGATGATCTTGGATAAAAGGTTCTGTAATTATCAATTATATTAGTTTGATCTAATGTTTCATTTAAGGCTGATATTTCTTTATTGATTTTCTGTTTAGTTAATCTGTCTAGAGCTGTCAAAGGAGTATTAAGGTCTCCAACTATAATTGTATTTTGATCTGTTTCTCCTTTTAGTTCTGTGAATAGCTGTTTAATATATTCCGGTGCTCCCTGGTTGGGTGCATATATATTAAGAAATGTTATGTTTTCTTGATGTAGTGTTCCCTTTATCATTATAAAGTGTCCATCTTTGTCACTTGTTATCTTGAGATCTATTTTGTCAGATATAAGTATGGCTACACCTGCTTTTCTGTGGATGTTATTTGCTTGGAGAATAATTTCCCACCCTTTTACTTTGAATCTGCCTTTGTCTTTGCTGTTTACATGTATCTCTTTTAGGCAGCATATGGTTGGGTTTTGTTTTTTGACCCACTCTGCTACTCTGTGCCTCTTTACTGGTGAATTCAGACCATTTACATTTAGAATAATTATTGATGGCTTATCTGGCTTTTTTGATACCCCTCCAGCCAGAAAGGGGTGGGAGGAACTCCCTTGTTACTGCAAAGTGGAGGCAGAAGTCCAGGTTCTCCACTCAGCCTTCATTGGCATGTGAGAGGGAGCTCCTCATTACCAATGGATGGGGTGGGGAGTTCTGGCAGTCTCCACTGATACTGAAGTAGGTGACCTTGTTACCACTGAGCTATGGTAAAAGTCCTGCCTCTCCACTAGGCCTCCTCTAACATTGCACCCCAATCCTTGTTACAGACAAGTAGGGTGGCAGTCTGGGCTCCCTACTTGACCTTGGCTGGCATAGTTTGGGTGCAGGAGCATAGTTTTTTTCCTATGGTGTTTGGCTGGAATTGAGTGGTTATTATTTAAATGTTTTCTGTCTTGCTAGGTTATCCCTTTATTTGCCCTTTGGCTAGAGCAGCGGTTCTCAACCTGTGGGTCATGACCCCTTTGGGGGTCGAACAACCCTTTCACAGGGGTCGCCTAAGACCATCGGAAACCACATATATAATTATATATTGTTTTTGTGATTAATCACTATGCTAACTATAGACAGGATACCATGGTAGGTGCTGTCATATCTTCTCTAGCTCCTCATCTTTGAAGATATCTTCTTTCTGCTTATTACCCAATCTCTATTCCTAGAACCAATCCAAACTATATATAACAAGAAAGAATTTTAAAAGCTTATGTTATAAAGTGAGATTTGCTATCAAATCACATTTGCTGTTGGCCTAACTTTGACACTGGTAACCATTCTCAGGATTTTATTTCTCCTTTTTTTTTTACCAATATCTGAGTACTGCTTTGAATTGCTCTTACCAGTCTCTCACCAAAGAATAAATACTGCACTAGAACCAAAAACCTTGCTACTTGTTGATCACCAGCCACAATCCCTGTATTACAATTCCAAATGTTTGACTAAAATATTACTTAAAATGCCTGACTGAAATTTTCTCTGACCCTCATGACCTTCAAAATTACAACCTTTAGATACCACACTCAACATCCTGGTAGAATTTCCACTGAGTGAATCTAGTTCTGAATTAAGGTACTCTTCCCTTCTCCTGCCCCTTCTGCCAGGCTAACTCATTCCATTGAAGTTAATAAGCAACACCCAGGCATGTACAAAATAATAAACACTTTAAGGTCAGATAAACAAGAAAGAGGCATCCATTGCTCTCAGAGAACACCGCCACCTTATAATGGGCATAAACTAGTTAACAATTAACTTTCTGCTACAAAACTAAAAATAAACTATGTTAAGTAGAAACTGATGGAGTCAGACCATTTAACAAGGTTAAACTTCATGAGCTGGCACATGAATCAAGATTTTAAAGATGAGCAATATTTTAATAGAAAAAAGCAAGCTATTCATAATTGCAAAAAAAAAAACTGTAAACAACCAAGATATCCTTTAAGAGGTGAATGGATAAATAAACTAAGATATAGCTATACCATAATATAGCTATAATGGAATATTACCCAGCAATATAGAGAAATGAGCTATTGAGACAAGAAGCATGGATGAGTCTTAAATGCATATTGCTAAGTGAAACAAGTCAGTCTGAAAAGGCTACGTACTGTATGATTCCAATTATGCTACATTCTAGAAAGGGCAAATCTACAGTTAGTAAAAAGGTGAGTGGTTGCCAGGCATCAGTGGGGAAGGGGTTGATTAGGTGAAGGAGATTTTTAGGGCAGGGAAACTATTTTGTATGATACTGTTTAACAGAGGATACATGACATTATGCCTTTGTCGGAACCCATACAGCACAAAGAGTGAATCTTAATCTATACAAAGTTTTAGAAAATTATTTAAGGCACCGGGGGATCCTAGAAAAGAATTCAGACCATGACAAGAGAATCTGACTATATGACAAATATATGAAACAACCACAATGTTCAAGAAAGTGGGTGGGAAGAAAACTAATTCTGAAAATGAAGGAAGTCTATAAAACTAAAGGCAAAAGGAACTATGCTCTATAGCACTCTACTCTAGTTGACAAAGTCATTTCCCACAGAAGTATGGGTTAACAATTCTAATACTGTTATACATGTATACTAGAATTGAATAATTAATGAATGGAAGATGATGGGAGACAGGTTCCTCAATGTTAGAGTGGGAGTTTACATATAAGTAAGGGGAGAAGGCTAGACTGATACATGTGATAATGGATTAGTTAGAAACATTAGCAAACCTCATCTTTATATATATATATAGCTAGACAAAAATATTTGTAGATATATGAATACACTTAGGTTAGTATACATACATATATTTCCTTACTCTGTCATAGGAGAGAGCCTATGAAGAATGATATCCCTTTCAAAATGAATCTGGCAAGACGAGAAGTTAGCTGGGAAGCATGAGAAATCATCACTACAGAAAGAATCCTATATAATCCTATATAATAAAGTGCTAATATGCAAATGGGCATCACGCCCTCACGACGACACGCAATAATGGCTCAGACACTCAACACTGGGGAGAGAGGAATGGGGACCAGCCAGGCTGCGTCCTGGGAGAGGGACAAGCCGCACACCCCGTGGTCCCAGGCACGTGCGGCTGCGACCAGGCGAAGCCGCCCATCCACAGTCCCCTGCGGCTGTGGCTGGCCCAGGCAAAGCCGGCCCAGGTCCTGTGTGCCTGCAGTCAACCAGAGGGAAGGAAGCCCAAGTCCTGGGTGCCTGCGACTGGCTGGAGGAGGGAATTCTGGGTCCCGGGTGTGGGGTGAGGAAGAGGTGGTTAGGGGCGATCAGGCCAGCAGAGGAGCAGTTAGGGGCGACCAGGCCAGTAGGGGAGCAGTTAGGGGCAATCAGGCAGGCAGGCAGAGGTGGTTAGGTGCGATCAGGCAGGCAGAGGGGTTAGGGGCAATCAGGCAGGCAGGCAGGCAAGTGGTTAGGAGCCAGCAGTCCCAGATTGCAAGAGGTAGTAGGACATCCCCCGAGGGGTCCCGGATTGGAGAGGGTGCAGGCTGGGCTGAAGGGCCCAACCCCGTGTACGAATTTCGTGCACCGGGCCTCTAGTAAGGTAATAAAGACCTTGTTATGGAGAGAAGCATCGTAGGTTTCTATATAACTATGAAGAAAGAAAAACTAGTATCCTTTTCTCCCCATCCATCCAGGTACCCCATCTTCAAATAAAACAATCTAAACAAAGTCTTAACATGAGAAGAAATCTGAAATATAGAAGAAAAAGTAGTAAAGGCCTAGAATATTATGCCATCTTGAGTGAAATATTCATCCTATACAGCAAATTGAGGGATTATGGGTATCTAGGGCAAGAGGAGGCAGGGTAGAAAACCCAAATTTTCCAAACATTGTGGCACACGCAATAGCAAAATTTCCATCTTTTGGGCAAACACTATTAATAAAAAAGCATTAACCTATTTACCCCTACAAAACTTCCACAAAATAAAAACTGACAAGTTACCCAGAATTTAAAATGACAATTGAAAATGTAATCACTCACTTCTAATAATTCTGAGACAACAGGAAGAACTTCAGGATTACAGATATCTATGGAGTCATCCCGGTATGTCTTCTTTTTGTAACAGATATTACCCAAATGTAGTATTGCTGATAGAAGAGAGAAAATCCTGCAAAAATAAAATTACAAATTACAACTTGTTTCTGTGTATTCTCTAAGCTTATTTCATCCCAAAAATCATAATCAAGCAAATTAACTAGTACAAATAGTCTTCAGAAAATAAGAAGTATGGGAGTAATTAGAACTATAAAATTTATTGAGTGTTTACTACTTTAGTCATTGTGCAAAGTGCTTTAAAAAACCTTAACTTCAGTATTGTACCTACCACTTGTCAGAAAAGTTATCTGAAGGGGACATCTTGCTATTATCTGAATCTGCTGTAGTGTTTCAAAAGTCCATTCGTTCCTAAATGCTTTTCATCCTGACTGGAATGCCCTTTTCCTACACTGTCTATTTCAGATCTACTGAATAAGAATGTTTCATGCCTTGGAATCTGTATTTTTAACCACGTATCCTAGGTGATTTTTTTTAGTTAGTAGTTATCCTATGTAATAAAAGGCTAATATGCAAATAGACTGAATGGCAGAACAACCGAACAACCGGTCGCTATGACATGCATTGACCACCAGAGGGCGTGCGTGGAACATAGTGGGCGTCGGCTGCAGTGGGATGGTGGAGCAGGTGAGCAGGAGTGCCAGACCAAGGTGGGGCACCGGTCACTGTCATCGGTGCAAGCCACTGGTGGTTACTTAAAATTCTTTGCTCCCGCGTGTCGCAGTCCCGCCGGGTGCTTGCACCTGCTGCTGGCGCTGGCCCTACCTGCACCCGCTGCTGGCATTGGAGCCGCCGCTGGCACCCACTGCTAGCGCCCGGTACCAGGCCCAATCACTCAGCACCATCAGCAGGTACGAGCGGCAGCTACCGGCCCCAATCGCCCCTCAGGGCTTCTCCACCTCCTCCTGCTCCTGAGGGGAGATCCGGACAGCAGCTGCCGCTTGCACCCACTGTTGGCGCTGGCCACAATTGCTCCACGCCTTCAGCGGGTGCGAGCAGAGCTGGCGCCATCAGCATGTGGGAGCAGCGACAGCGGGAGCGGAGCTGCTGGCAGATAGGGAACCAGGGGCTACGGCAGAAGGGGCTGGGCAGGGGCACAGAGGGTGTGCCGAGACCAGCCCCTGTGCCTACCATAGCCTCCCGGCCCACAGTTCCTTTCAAGGTGCACGACTTTGTGCACTAGGCCCCTAGTCTATATATATAAAAGGCTAAGCGACTGTTCGACCTTTCAATCAGTAGCTATGACGTGCACTAGCCACTAGGGGGGCAGACGTTCAACACACAGGTATGGAAACATGGAACACACTGATGAATCTGAGGGAAGCGGGGAGAAGGGAGGGTGAGAAGAGATTAACCAAAGATCTTTTATGCATACTAGAGGCCCGGTGGGGTCTCTTGGCCTGGCCTACAGGGATCAGGCTAAAACCGGCAGTCTGACATCCCCCAAGGCATCCTGGATTGCAAGAGGGCGCAGGCCAAGCTGAGAAACCCCACAAGTGCACAAATCTGTGCACCAGACCTCTAGTATTTAAGAAAGCCTTTCCTACATGTATTACATGATCTCACTTATATTTGGAATCTAATGAACAAATTAAACTGATGAACAAAAGAGACCCAGAGACATTGAAGCATGCAATACACTGACATATTTCAGAGGGGAGGGGTAAGGAGAGATGAACCAATGAACTTATATGTATACGAGAGGCCTGGTGCATGAAATTCATGTACTTGGGTGGAGGGTCCCTCAGCCTGGCCTGTGCCCTCTCGCAGTCCGGTAGCCCTCGGGGGATGTCCAAATGTCACGGGATCAAGCCGAAACCGGCTCTGTGACATCCCCCAAGGGGTCCCGGATTGCAAGAGGCTGCAGGCCAGGCCAAGGGACCCCACCAGTACACGACTGGGGCTGGGGAGGGACACGAGAGGTTGGCTAGCCGGGGAGGGACCGCGGGAGGGCTCTAGGGCATGTTCGGCCCATCTCGCTCAGTTCCGATCAGCCGGACCCCAGCAGCAAGCTAACCTACCAGTTGGAAGTTGGAGCGTCTGCCCCCTGGGGGTCAGTGCACATCATAGCAACTGGTCGACCAGTTGACTGTCTGCCCCCTGGTGGTCAGTGCATGTCATAGCGAATGGTCAACTGGTCTATTGTCTCCCCCTGGAGGTCAGTGCATGTCATAGCGAGCGGTTGAGAGACCTTAGCATATCATTAGCATATTACGCTTTGATTGGTTGAATGGATGACCGGACACTTAGCATATTAGGCTTTTATTATGTAGGATATGCATGGCCCATGGACAGACAATAGTGTGCAGGAAGGCCCAGGAAGGTGACTGGAACAAGGTAGAGGAGCCCAATGGGATATCTGTAATACTTTCAACGATAAAGATAAATTTTTTTTTTAAAAAAAGGCTTTCCTACATCATATGATGGTACCCTTGATAAATGTTTTTTTTAAAACAGCCTGAGGCCATTGGGGTACATTATCTAATATCAGGCCCCAACTGTGAGACATTTACATCTAGACTCTCCCTTTTGTCTTCCCCCCGCACCCTCCAGTCTTTGAGGAACACATGCCCCTCTTCCAGTCAGCAAACTAATCCCTCCACTTGCGCTCTCCATCCCATGAACTCCAGTTTGCTGGGATACATTATTATACTTTTTTTGTATCACTCACCTAAACCTATAAGAATTTTTAATCAAAATAATCTCATGTTCACTTCTCTCTTACTTTAAAAAACCCATCCTAGATTCCACATCTTCTTCCTCCCCTTCACAAACAATCATACTAATAAGGACTGACTTATAAATCCTTGTCTTTACTTTGTCATCCCTTTTTACAATCACATTCTGGCATCTAAAATGTCTCATAGAGGTTACCAAGGACTTCCATGTAACTAAGAAAAGCATATTATTCCTTAACTTACCTGACATCTCAAAGGCATTTAACACAACTGACCATCTAAAACTGAACACAACTCTATCTAAAAGCCATTCCTGAAAATTCGGATATATACATATATTTGTGCCTTGACCACTTTATTTCTTTAGGATAAATTTGTCCTTACTTATGAAATTTACACTATGTGTTTTACTAAAATTAGGAAGTATTCTAAATAAATAAAGATACTTCTTTAGGGACCTATAGCTATATTTTTAGAGGTCCTGAGTCAACATCTAATTTATAGGTCTAATTTCTTAAATAATTAAAAATGTTTAATGATTCAAACAAAAAACAAGTCAATTATAAAGGACTAAGTCATAAAGTTAGACTGGGTTAAATTAAAGAGGAAACTTAGTATCAAGTGAAATATTATAAAAATAAACAGAAGTCAAAAGATATACAAACAGTAATTACTGAGCCATTTTTTAAAAAAATTTTTTATTGATTTCACAGAGAGGAAGGGAAAAGGATAGAGAGATAGAAACATCAATAAAAGAGAAACATCCATCGGCTGCCTCCTGCACACCCCCTTTGGGGATTGAGCCCGAAACCCCGAAACCCCGGCATGTGCCCCGACCGAGAATCAAACTGTAACCTCCAGGTTCATGGGCTGACGCTCAAACACCACGCCACACCAGCCAGGCCTGAGCCATTTTTAAAAACTGTTTTTGCAGTAGTTTCTATGGTTGGTAATTACATTGTTTCAGAACTTTGGGTTCAAAAATCAGCACATTAATGTTTCCTCATACACAAATATGTAATGCATAGACTCCAGGAATAAGAAACATCATATAAGCAAATCAATATACTATAATTCAATATAAAAAAGATTAATAAATATAAATAAGAGTCCCTGTTCTCAAAAAGCTTATAATCTTCCATTTGGAGATAACAATAACCATACTATAAGGCAGGATACCTAAAAACAAAGAAGCAGAAACAATGTACAGTTAAAGGAAATCTCATTAAAAAGGTTTGGCTCAGTGGATAGAGTGTTGGACAGCATACTGAAGGGTTCCAGATTCTATTCTGGTCAAGGGCACATGCCTGGGTTACAGGTTCTCCCTAGTAGGGGGGTGTGCAGGAGGCAGCCGATCAATGATTCTCTCTCATCATTGATGTTTCTCTCTCTCTCTCCCTCTCTTTCCTCTCTCTCTAAAAATCAATAAACTTTTTTTTAAATTAGTAATGTTACAATTATTTTTCTGGTGAGAGTCAAGGTTATTTGTGTCTTTAATTTGAAATAGTTTATGTTATGTATCGCTTACTTCATCTTTATCTCAACCTTTTTACATTTTATTTTAGTTCAACGTATTTAATAAACAAAATGTTTAGTACAAATAGTACAGACATTACTTTAAAGAGTAAATATATGGAAATTATGTTTTACTGATAGGTATGTGAGCTTTAATAAGATTAGAGATCAATGATATAGAAAATAAAAAACTATAAAAATAGTGTTATAAAGCAACAGTGTTTACATAAGGTTCATGAAGAGGCTTCAGGGACACCAGAAACTCTTGCACTTATATGCAAATGTTTATAAATATAAATTGTACAGGAAGAAGAGCTCCTGGGCTTTCAACTGATTTTCAAAATATCTCAAAGAATTTTTGACAAAAAAACAATTCAAAACAAGTCTTTTAGAAAAATAAATTTTCTAAGCCACACCTAAGAAGGAAAAGGCACTAAACAAGGACTATAATAAAAGTGTCTCAAAGGACCAAGAAAGAGGAATTCTTAAATACACATCATAATTTGTTCTCTGTTCAAGGTATAAAAACAATAAATAAACTCACTGTCTTTGTGTCTTGGGAAGAAATCCTACCATTTCCATGGCCAGTTGTAAGCGTTCAAAGTCATGCTTCAAATCCTCCCCCTCCACTGTGAAGCAATCCTGTTTATTAAAAAAAAAAATTAAAAAGAGAGGGGGAAATAAAAATTACCTGTTGAAAACTAACATAAGCCACTCAGAAATATAGTAATTTTAGATAAGTACACCTACACATAAAAATTGGAGCTGGTAAAATACTTAGACAAATTCATTATACCTCTAATCTTATGCAAACTAAACACATAGTACTTACCAAAATACCATAAAGTTACGTTGTTTTCTCCCTTTCACAATCAACAAGGCAAGAATCTCAAAAGTAACTTATGATAGCAATTTTTACTTTGAGTGGTTCAGAAGAATTTTAAAGACCCAAAGCATTCAAAAGACCTCAATTACACAAATGAGTGCAAATTATTCAACAAATCCTAATATATAAAAACCCTGGGTCCATCATGACCGGAGGCTTGACCAACTGGAAGTCAGACCTGCAGTCAGCGTTGGGTTGCCGTGGCGACCCAGCACTGACTGCTGAGGGGGCTGCGAATCAGGCCCAGAGAGAGGCCTGAAGAGAGAAGCAGGGTCTGATCTGTAGCCTGTGTGGCAGCTGTTGATCAGCACTTGCCTCTCTCTTTCTCTCCTGGCTGGACCAGCAGCTGCGCCTCCATTTCTCTCCAGGCCACCACCGGGGCTGCTGATCAGCCCCGCCTTTCTGATCAGGCCCCGTTGATAGGCCCAGAGACGCTGACTGGCATAGAAACCAACCAATCAGAACCAAATATGGGTCAACTGTGAGGAGCCAATGGCTGCCTAGGAGGCAGAGCTTTTGACGCTGACTGGCATAGAAACCAACCAATCAGAACCAAATTGGCCTGCAGAGGAGGGCAGTTAGGGGCAAGATCAGGCCAGCAGGGGAGGGTAGTTGGGGCAAGATTAGGTCAGCAGGGGAGGGCCGTTGGGGGCAAGATTAGGCCGGCAGGGGAGGGCAGTTGGGGGCGAGATAAGGCCAGCAGGGGAGGGTAGTTAGGGGTGATCAGGCAGGCAGAGGCAGTTGAGGGCAAGATTAGGCTGGCAGGGGAAAGCAGTTGGGGGCAAAATCAGGTCAGCAGGGGAGGGCAGTTAGGGGCGATCAGGCAGGCAGGCAGGTGAGCGGTTAGGAGCCAGCAGTCCCAGATTTCGAGAGGGATGTACGATTGGAGAGGGTGCAGGCTGGGCTGAGGGGACCCCCCACCCCCGCACGATTTTTGTGCACCGGGCCACTAGTATTTAATAAATGCCTACTCATCAGCAAGTCACTGAACTAGATCCTGGGACACAAAAATAAATTTTAGAAGAGGCAATAATTTAATTGAGAAGTGGAGTGTAGATTTGTATGATACAAAAATGTTCATATTATATCAATTCAGATATATAATAAATGGCTCCAAATAAAATAATATAAATATGATAATCAATCAGCAAAAGAAAACAGTGTACACTACCAGATAAAAAATATTACTTTTTCAGAGTAACCATTCTCCTTCAGTTCCCCCCAAAACATTAACATTGTACACTTAAGTCCTTTTTTTAAAGTTATTTTACTATGTTTCTTTTATTATTTTAAATGTGTTTATTGATTTTAGAGAGAGAGGAAGGGAAAGGGACAGAGAGAAACATCAATCAGGATCAGCTACTTCCTGCATGCCCCCTACTGGGGAGTGAGCCCACAACCTGGGCAAGTCCCCTAACCAGGAATCTAACCTACGACCTCTCAGTGTATGGGGCAAATGAGCCACACCAGCCAGGGCTGTACACTTAAGTCTATACATTCCTTTATTGTATGTTCTCAGAGTCCATTACATTTACATAGTCAAAAACATCCTTCCACGTATTTATGTTTGTAATGCCTATCCAAAGGCATGTTGTATCAAACATTCAGTAAATTGTTATCTGCTGTATTTAATTCATTATTTCCAGCATCAAGTCAGCAAAGAAGAAAGTGGGTAATTATTGAAATAAATATATAATCATTGAATTATTAAATAAATACTGAATTGAATGAAACACTCCTTTGTGAGAAATGAAGTGCTCATTTATTTTTTTTTAAGTATCAAGCATCTATAATGTATAATATGCTTCAGATACTGAAAGAATGAGTTACTGAATACATCGCAATATACTTTAAATTTTTAAATACACTTCAATAAGAATTCTTTCTGAGAATCCATGCATTTTCTGCCTATAACATTTTTGGTAAGCAATTTTAAGACACATTTAAGACAATGTCCTACTCACTAAAAAATTTTAACACATTTTTACCTACAGTAAAACTTTTTAAAATGCTCTTGCTTCTTTCCTCCAAGACCCCAAACATCTCATTTATTTTATGAGTTAATAAACATTTCTCTATAACCAGTAAGGGGGGTGAGGGGTTCTGTGCTTCCACTTGAGTAAACCAAATGATATAGCAATGATTCTCATAATTTATAGTCTTCTTGTCTGTTCCCAAAGGAATATTACAATCCTATCTAATAATAGACAAACATGGTAATTGACCGTATCTTCGCTACACCTCCCATTGGCTAATAAGCGTGATATGCAAATTAGCCGCCAACAAAGATGGCAGCTAATTTGCATACTGCGGGCAGACCCCCAGCGGACACACACACACACGCACACACACACACACACACCCCTCCTGCTCCGAGCCTCTGCTGCCAGACTGTGGCCGTCAGTAGGACATCCACTGAGGGCTCCCAGACTGAGGGGCAG